CCCCCCCCCCCCTCCGCCTACGTCAGCGATACAACTAGTGTATCGATGTATCCAATCTATCGGCGCGCGACGCTGCCGTCGACCGCCACCTCTGCCACCACCGCTCCCACCACCATTGCCACGGCAAATTGTATCGACGCATCCCGAAGCAACAGTTGGCATAACTCCTCCCTCCCCTCGTCTTCGTACGAATTTTCCAATAATCACGAGAACGGATTAATCGCGTCAATGCGTTTCCCCAGTGTCTAATTTAATTTCGTCTGTATCATATAAATTAGCTAAAGCTTTAGGACGAAAACACACTCTTGCGTAACGCATAATGCATAATGCATAATGCGTAAGAAAATGGACCGATCAAAGTCTTTCATTTCCTCCCTTTTTATGAAATAAAAGATTCTGACTGATTGATTTTCTTTTGTCTTATATATGCCTTAAGCGTTACATATTTATACAAAAAAAAAACGTCTGTGCTCCGTCTTTTACGTGTGGACACGGAATCGCTATGCATTTGGAGTCTTGTCTCTCCGATTGTGAGTCTTGTCGGACCGAAATACAGAAATAAAGTCGTCTTGCTCATCGTAATAATTTAGATAAGACACAATAACAAAACCTCGCAGATAACTTTGGACCTCGCGTGAATAACTTGATGTAGTACTTAAAAATATTTTAACATAGCGAAAACTGCGAAGCAGAGACCAGAAGTAATCCGATAAAAGTACGAGCACTAGAATAAAAAGTTTCGTCATTACAGGAGTAGGTAATGTAAATTAACGAGTAATGAGAAGAAAGCTGCACGCAATTTACGATTTTGTTTCATTCCTCTGAATGCGCTAGATCGCTGCATTTAGATTTACACAAGAATATCAACTAATTTCTCACATCTATGGTTTCCTCTTAATGTTATGTATTTTCTATATATTACAGTTTTACACGTAATATTTACTTTCAAGGTACATTCTTGCAAGAACTCTTGAAAAAATTTGGACAAAACTTTTCTTTTATTTATAATTCACAAAAAATTTATAACAGAGAAGTGATTTTTACAAGACCGAATGATCATTGTTTATTTATTTTCAAGATTTTTCAAATTAAAATATACATTCTTGCGAAATTATCTGTTTTAATATCGCTGGAATTACAGAATCAGATTTTTACGTCGGATTCTATGATTCCAGCAATATTAAAACAAAAGATTTTGCAGAAATGTATATTTTAATTTGAAAAATCTTGGGAATAAAAGAAACAATGACATTTTCAACAATATGCGACAAGTAAGACACTTGCTGTTGTGACGCGATAATAGAATTTTACGTTAATTATGAGATTGAGAGGATTTTCGGGCGCGCGGGAGGACACGTGCCAACTGTCTAAAAGACTACTAGCCTGATCCTGCAAGGACGACGCGTCACGTGGTTTTGGATTGGTGGGGATCGCGCTAAAACGCCTACCCCGAAATCTGCTCGCCTAGTACGCGGCTGGTCGTACACTTGAATTCTCGATTGACGAGCTATCGACAGGCGATTGGTTCCGGATGGCCTATCACAATCCTGATCAGCGCTAATTATCACGACGTTGAAAGCGACGTTCCATTGATTGTCGTTATCAAATTTCGATACGATCCAATTTAGTGTTTCTAAAGACGCACGTGTCATTTTTTTTCTTCCCGGAGTGCTCCTTACGACCATTTGTATTTAATTAAAATCTGCTTTTTCGAGATAATTTGGAAAGAGAATTGATCGGAGAGAAGAACGAGACCTGTTGCTTGTTTTGTGTAGCGCAGGCGGTTCTGTTGGTATCAGGGACATATTACGCGCTTCCATCACGTTCGCGTTTCCGTTTTCTCCGAACCTCCCGTTTCACTTCTACACTCGAGTCTCACGTTCCTCAGGAACCTTAGGGACAGCCATGATCTCCTCATGAACGAGACGCGCACGAAGTGAACGCCAAAAAGCGAGAGACTAACTATAGTACAGCGTAATATAAACAAAATGTAATTTCTATGATAAAATCTTGTCGATGAATAGAATACAAGTTTCGCAAACGTTCTTCACAAATGTATAATACGCATCTAACGAAATTACATTCTTACAGAAATCACGTATCAAATTTTATGCTTACAGATAATTTTATTATCTGTAGTGACGCTTTGTCTTCCATGAATGTTACGAGAACGGTCAATTATTTAAGGTAGAATTCTAATTTGAGACATTTTTATTAAAAGATAAAACAGATTTTTGTATAAAATAGAATAGATTTCTATTAAAAGATAAACTTTATACGGAGATAAACGTAAATACGCATTAGAACTCTAATAGTCTAATAAATTTTATGGAATTGACAGGTCCATATAATGATAGACGTTTATTTATGTAAAATTTACTTTACTTTTCTAGTAAATGAATAATCGTCATATAAAACCATACCGTAAGGTATTTTTTACATTTTTACATTTCGTAAAGTAAATTTTGAAAGCGTCCGTTCCTATTAATCTTGAAAATAGTTAATTTATTTTACTGTAATAATTATTTAAATGAATTTATTATAATTGTAATGTACTTTTTTCCTTCTCGTATTTTCATTTTCAAGTAAATAAAGTTTGTCATAAGGCAAAAATATTTCAGAATATTTTTATTAATCTTGTAAGGTAAAAATCAATTATTTTTCTCCGTGTATATTTTGCAAAAGCAAGTAATTTTAATTAACGATAAATTTCTTTACGTTTATAGCAGCAAGTATCTCACTTGTTAAATGTTACCGAAGATGTTTCTTTTTAATCTTTAAAATTTTTTACATCCTCCAGAAATCTTCAAGAATTTGAGTTTTAGATCGAATTATAAATAATGTTGAGGCACGAGGGAGATATGCAAAATATTTTAATACAGAGGCGATATATTTGTATCTTTCCACGGGTGCCGCGGGGTGAATACTGTTTGCATGCTGTACGCCTCCACTTTTCCATGATATCCAGGCAGCATCCGGCCGGCGCGCGGCGTCCTCTTCGACAAACAAATGCGCGGCGATGCGCGCGGGCCGGCTGTCCCGTTGGGGGATAAACAAGCGTGACATGCTGATAGGTTCCTGGTAGTGTCGAAACGCCGTGAGATGTCGTAAACCCGAGAAGATGACAGAAAATCGATAGCAGGTCGCCTTCACGGTCGTCCGTCGTCGCGGCATCGACGTCGTCTTTGCTAGTTTTTCTTCCCGCGAACGGTCCACACGTGATATGGTGGCCTGTTCGTTTTCAGACGCCGTGCGTCTTCCTGCTGTCTTCGGGAAAAAATCCCGGAACGCAACAAATATGTATCGGCGGATCGGGACTATTCCCGTGGGTGATACTATCCTGCTACGTTGACACGTCACGGTCGTCATGTTGGGAGGATTTGACGTGAAATCGATGACACGCCTCCGATGCGTCCTGTTGCCGTCCGCGGCTATCAACATTTTTTTACGCCATCGGTAATGAAACGTGTATCGAAAGATTTCGGTCTTCCCGGCTACGGACACCGAAAGAGGTCTCACGTTAGAGAAACACGTCAAACTACAGATATGCTAATATCCGAGCGGCCGCGCCTTCTATAATAGGAAATATATTAGATATAGCGATCACTTTTTTTAACATCGATAATATTAATCGTCAGCATTATCGTTTGATCATCGGAAACTTGCTCTTTGTGCTTTAAACGTCTAGCAATTATCTTTATTCTTAGTTCTTTATCGTGCTTAATTACCGGGAAGGAGAAAAATTAATGCTTGTGAAAATCTAGCTTAATTTCTATAGAATTATAGTCAGCTATATTTCTATTCTACGATAATTCTCTCTTTCAAATCTGTTGTATTGCGTGTAAAATGCACTTTGCGACGCGTTCCTTGCAACTTGTTAGTATAATTATATCGTAAATGTTTTGATAGCTTATTCCGGAACGAAGACCCATTGGAGAGAAAAAGACGCGACGAGCGCGCTTGCGTCACCGTCGTATCGATTAAATGTCAGATTCATGTCATAAAGACGTCACAGGCACGGTTTTCACCAGGACAACATCCTGCGCTTGAATTTACGACCGCCAACGTGGCAACAGGTCTCGCGGGAACTCAACGCCGTTGTACGCAGAATCCGAGATTCCCGCCACACTTTCATCTCATTTCTAACACACATCCCAAGATAAGAATTATCGATGATACATTAAGATGTATTCGCTCTTCATCCTCCATTTATCTATATCTCATCCATTAAAACCATTAGATCCATTTAAATCGGGGTTAGTAAAGACTAATGTTTTTTTAAGAATAAAACATTATGTTTTTCTTCTTAAATATATTTTTAATGCTTTAAAGCCTGTTCTACGATGTGCATTTTGTTTTCCTGTTTCTTGTTTTTTGCTACTTTTTACATCTTGTCTTTTTGCCTCTTATCCCGTTTTTCGTTTTTATCGCCTGAGATAAAAGTTAACTTCGGAAGAAACAAGAAACACATGGCAAGAAATATAATTGTCAATAAAACGGTCGCAAAGAGGGAAGAAAACAAGAGATAAAGAGCAAGAAACATTAAACAAAGAGAACATTGTAGAATAGGCTTAAATATGCTTTAAACAGTATTATAAAAAAACATGTGTATAAAACAATAATTAAGCATGTTTTAAACTGTTCGAAATATGTTTAAAATATGTTTTTTACCAATCCTCTGATTTAAACGTATTTCATAATTAAAGTTGATAGATACTTTAGTTTCTATTAAAAATTTTTTTAGTTTTTTTTCTGATTTATGTTCACGTTAATTTCTTTAATTATTGTTAGAAAACGTTTTAAAAACTATCAACATTAGACGATTTAGCTTTTTTCTCTACTATTTATTATTTATTATTAGATTAACCCCCTTGCTCACCCCCTGCCACTCTTACTGTGAATATAAATTAGAAAAAAAATAATTAATTTTTTAAATACACACAAGTGAATATATATAACGTTGATTCAAAAAATATATTTCCCCATCTCAAACTAATAGTTTGAATTTGAAATCAGACAGTGAGTTTTTACATCATGCGTATACCAATACCATTGAAAAAATTATGGCTTAATTCTACATTTAATTTGTTTGATTTAATTTGATTATATTTAGGATTGTATTTGACTATCTAACATAGAAGTTTTAATTTATGACATTCAGCGACGCTGCGAATTGTATTGTATATTTTCTGACACATCTCTCATCTGTAATGTTTATGTTTTAAGAGTCATTTCAATTTTATACTCGCGTCACGGGACAGTTCTCTCGATATATTTTTCCTCCTTTGCGTTATGTTGATCAAAGTTTGCAGGTGGTGAGTTTCTTCGGTTAATCGTAATGAAGTATATTACTTATTTCGTAACATTTCTCCACAAGTTACATTTGTTATTACTAGTTCTCACTTGACTAATCAGTCAATGGACAAGGATGCTTCTCAAAATTTGGAAGGGGCTCTTCCGGCTGCTCTCTTGGATCGTTTAAGATGCGAGTAATGATCACTTTTATTGTCTAAACATCGCTGATGATGACTTAAATGAAGCTTACGATTTTGAATTTTATTAAATCTCTTGCGAGGTGATGTAAGAATTTTTAAATATATATTTTTTACACGCACTTAATAACTGCGTCTTCCTTCAGCTCTCAATCGCCCGTTATATGGTATATGATGATATTCATTATTATTGTTAAAAAATATATTATTTGTTGTCTTCGATGAAATATAATAATTGGATAAACGTCAAACTTTCAATTAGAAATATTATCTATACATATACATTACATAAAAGTCAATTTAAACAAACAAGATGCTCGCAACCGCCTTATTTTAGGTGTGCATTTTCCTTTTACATTAATATTTCCGAGAATATTTCACATTGATCGCTATCGCATTACGCCGACACGAAAGAAAGCATGCAGCTATAGCAATGTCCCCGTCGCATTTGCTCCCTCCTCCTACCCCCTAATACGCGCGTGCGCCTGCATTATCTATAATTCGCGGCGAACCACCTGTTGATCGTGCGACGCTCGTAAATCTAGCTCGGGGCTGTAATCCTGGTAGGCTCGTCTCGGAATGACGTCATTGACGATCTCTTGACGGACAACTGACACTCGCGTGCCGTCCTCGAGTGATTGGCCGACCCTCGTTGCTCGTCGCCCAGCGATTTCTTTTCATATTGAAGGAGTTTTCCTTACACCCTCTTTACCTCCTCGGCCTCTCTCGCCAGGGGTCCTCGCGACGCGCGCGAGAGAAGCTTACCAGGGTCCTCCGCGCGAAACGGAACAACGTGTATCCATCCCCATAAATTCTATCTACTACTCGGCGTTGCTCCCCTAGTAGGCACGAGCTTCCGTGACGTCACGCCGCGTCATATGACGAGAACGTACTCGATGATGCTCGATGATCGCGCCCGGAGGGTAACGCTCGCTCGGTCACCAGAGACTGAGGAAATGAGTGAGGGAGGCAGAGAGGACGTAACGTGCGGCCGTAGGGTCGTAATTTAGCGAATCGACCCGTCTCGGCGTCGGCGAAGGGTGTTGGCGGGACACCCTATAAATCCCTCAAACGTCTGCTGGTGCCCTGGTGCATCCGAGCGACTTACGCCACCGTGACGGACGGATGACTGACGTTTCTTCTGTTTTCAAAGTGTCGCGCACACGTTATCGCGGAGTTAAGCAGCATTCACATTGAGATAAATCGCTCTGAGATTATCCTGGGTTGAGGAGAAGCTGATACGAGTTGGAGCTTTGTACGAGAATGAGTTTTCAGTGCACAGTGCAATTCCGAACGAATCAAATTTAAACAGCGCTCTGTGCTATCCAGTCACATGCAAAACTCAATTTTACACGCGTTATCACATATTTAGTATACATAATCACAATACATATTAAACTGCAATTTTCTCTGTACGAGCCATGATCTCCTTTAGATGGACTAAATTCTGAAAATAGGATTTTACATCTCTTTCTGCGTTTCGAAAGAAAGAAGTTGTTGGTCAGTCGAATTATCGGTCGTCCATTGTGAACCAAGCCATTCAAGTAAAGTACCTCGCAAACATAGGCGATAATTATACGCGAAAGAAGTAAGAAGGGTTAAGAGACGAAAGAAGGAGAGGTGACACATATATAAACTAGTATAGAGCAAGGTACGACCGTCCAGGGTGCTGTATGCGGCCCTGGTACGCCAGCGTCCCTACGACGTAACATGATGTACAGATGACGGTAAATCAATACGCGTCGTCGTCGACTATCGACTCTAATGTTCGAGGGCAATAACGTAAGACACGTAAAAAAAAATAGAATATTCATCGGGATGGGCGTGACGGAAACACACGTGTCTACGAAAATGCGCTACCAATGTATATACACGATGTAATAAATAAATTCTGAAATATTTGACTCTGCTTAAACTAAAAAATCAGCGTAAACACTTTTTTCAAAAATTAATATAAAAGCAAATTTTGGTAATATAAAAATACGAACGTTTCCAGCTGCTCATTTTCCCAATATTAATTTAATCAACGTATATTCCATTGTTCACCATCATTTGATTATTTGTTAAATTTTTATCTTTGTGTCTTTGCTACGTAAAAAGATATCGACATTAAAGTTATATCATTTTATCTGCGATTAACACGGAGGAATTTCAATTAGGTAAGTAAAATATATATATGCAAATACAGAACGCCTCTTATTATTTTTTTTATTAATAAAATATGTAATATGAGCACATTGCTAAATTAGCTTTTAAATATAACTCGAGTCTACGACACGTGTCGATTATTATTATTCAAGACAAGTCGCGACTAAGTCGTTAGCATGATATTTCGCAATCGAGAGCCGTCAGACAAGGATCGTGCCAAGCATGCCTGGCGAGCTTCCGGGAGCAGGCAACCATCCGTATTTGGAAGTCCCGTGGGATACCTTGAAATTCCCATTAAATTCCCGCTGCGCGTGCATCAGGATTCCAGTGTCTAGGACGGGTCGGGAATACGCGGGGCGCGGTGAGAGGAGGGTGATTGCATCGCGATCGTTTAAGTTCAATTTTAAACGAGTCAATAACATCAAAAGCTTCGACTATCCGGCTCGCATCCTGGCGTAGAGCTAGAACGTAACATATATACCGTTCATTGTGATCCAAACCACCCCTAGACACCGTTTCGCCGAAGATGGGGTTCGAAGGTGAATACTGAATATGCGTTCTCAAAGCACCAGAGCAGCAGGAAGAAGACGAAATTGCGTAAACGTTATTTCTCTAGGGATGAATGGATGGAAATAATTTAAAGATATTAGATAATATCAATTGCCGTTTTATATCGTTGACTACTTATAATCAACTTGTAACTAAAAGTGAAAATATTTTTCTTTTTCTTGTACTTTAGAGAGGAAATGTTGTACTAAATTCGCGAAGTTAGTACGTCATATTTTCAGTTTTGATTTTTTAGTATAAAACTTTTAGTATGGAATTTTTTTTTTAAATGGAAAGA